CGGCTCCTGGCGCTACGTCTGTTGAGGGGCGCCGGTCCTCCCCATCAGTGGGAATTAAGTGGGATGGGTCGTTTCTCTTCCGTCGTTCAGCGGCCAGTAAACCACAGCCTGCCAGGGTACCAGGTCCCGCGGGCAGAGCTTGCCTCTCGCTGGCAAACACAGCCCTTTCCCATCCCCGTCGCTCAGACACACAGCCGGTTCACCTTAACAGGTGCCTCCTTCAAAAGACACGTGCTCGCGCCCTCCTGAAACCACCCCGTGAAGAGGAGCGTGTTCCCTTGCGCGCAGCAGTCGTTCAGGCTCGCCGCCTGCAGAAACACGTCGCCCGGCGGAGTTCAAAGCCAGGCTTACACGAGAGATTTATCCGCCACATCTATGTACAGGGATGCGCGGGCACGTGGGCATTTGGCAGGACTCTTGTACCTGCTCCAGTGGAGATGCAGTTATTTTACTTAAGAGTATTTTTTTACAATGGGTATTGCTTATTCCGCCGCTGTACGACTGCCCTGTAACAGGCCCGGTCGCTGTGATGCTTTGAAGGCTGGAAATTCTTGTGTCCATCCCCAGCACGGTTAAAAACAAACCACACAGAAGGAACGATTATAAATATACAACTTTAAAAAAATTACTGTTAAAGATTTATTGCAATAATACAATAAAATTTAGAAAAAAAGAAAAAAAAACCCCAAAACATTTGTGTTTAGTTACATCTAGGTTGGAAGTTGCAGAGAGAGGCCCCGAGTTTTTGCAGGTGACGAGCGGCCCTCGGGTGTCCCACCTGAGACCCTTCAGAGGCGCCCGATTTTCTGCAGAGGCCTGGGCTCTCAAAATCAGGTTCTTCCTTGGCAGCTCAGATCGGCCACCCCGGATCACTGGTCACGGGCAAAAGTCACGGCCTGAACTGAAATTCCCGCATTCATGCTACGCAAAGTGTTTTGTAAACTCTCAGCTGGCTGTCTTCACATATCTATAATTACAGATATTCCTGCCCTCCCTCCCCCAAAACAACCTGGAAAACTAATCCTGGCGATTGCACTCAAGGTTTGGACACACACAATTCTTCCTTAGCTACACATGTGCAAAACACTTTAAAAAAAAAAAAAAAAAAAAGAAAAAAAAAAAAAAGAAACCTCCACAATCTGTGTTCTGTTACAAAAATGTTTTGTGAAAAGACCTATCCCGATGCATTTTAACACCCTCGCAGTGCTGTTGTGCACTTTCAGCCTCTGACATGGTTGCAAATAAATTATTTGGAAAACATGATGCTTATGAAGTATATGGCTTAAAAAGGTTGGTTTTTTGTGTTGGTTTTACATTCCCTAAGTAAGTAAACGACAGTGGACAAAGCTGAATCACGGGCCTGACCTTTAGGGGTTCAAAATAGCACAAAGGCAGCAATGAAAGAGTGACTGAAATGCATAAAAAAACCCAAAACAACAAAAAAAAAGATATTTATATGGCGGGGTCCAGTGCAAAATAAACGGGAACCAGAAGGGGCTGCGCGATGCTAAGAGCCCAATATAGGGGGGTACTGGCGAGTATGGGCTGGCTGCTCGGAACCGCAAGGGATCCGATAGCTGCGGGTGAGTGAAGTGCTGGGAAGTGACGAGTGACCAAACTCTCCCGGCCCCGGCCCGGGCAGCGCTCGCTGCTGGGGGAGCTGGGGGCACCGTCCCCGTCCAGGCCACAGGAGTCAAGGGAGTCTTGACCCAACTGTTGAATTCAGACCAAAAGAATGGTAGGACCGAGGGTGTCTTCCTCTAACAATGTATGTGCTGTTAGGGTGGAGTTAAGGGTCTTCGGTTTTAAAAAAAAAAAGAAAAAAGAAACTGCTGACAACAGACGCCCATCCCCAAAGAGAAAGAGCTGCCGTACGAGAGGGGAGGACAGAGGAGTAGGAGTAGGAGAAAACATCTGGTGTTCCTACCCAGTAACACATGGAGAGAGTTTTAGCTATTGAAAAAGCGACTGGCATTCT